TTTTCCATCCTGCCTAAGCTGCTTCTGAGAAAAGCTGAGCCAAGAGAGAAGGCATTCAAATGCTTATACATCTTTTTTTTTTTTTTTTTGAATGGAAAGAATCAATACTACTCATGACCCAAACACATCCAGAAATAATGGTGCGGAGGTTATAAGTGACTGCTCATCTGTGTGAAAGCTGATATTTTAAGCCCATTCATTCATTATTAATTGCGGAGAGGTACAAACCACTGACACCTCACTCTGAGTATTCCTTACACTGGAATTCCAATTGCCAAATTTCAGTGTCTCTCCTGCCAATCAGGTGTGAAAACAGCTGCATTATGCTGAGATAGAAACAGGAGTGGGTGGATCAGGTCTCCATTACTTGGTCTGAATGTTCAGCCAAGAAGGAATAAGTCACTTTGACCTCAGCAAACAACATCTAGCTAAAATTAAAAGAAAGTTAGGAGATATGTGGATTCTTGTGGTCCTTTGTGATACTTTCCAAGATAAGACATCATACATGCAGATGAGTCTGTTGAACAAACACACCATATCCTGTTGTTATATTATTACTGTTTTTTTCTTACAGTGTTTTAATAAGGCACTGCCCAGGATATGCAACAGGAAGGAGCAGAGAGCAACAAAACTATTTTTCCATTGAATACATAAATGTCTTGTTTCGCTGTCTTAAATCAGAAGTTCAGAGTTTTTGCAGCACTTTCTAGTGAGAGTGAAAAGATTTTACTCAACTTTCCAGAAACTCCCATCTGTTCCCTCTTTACATTTGCACTTGTTTTTAATTCCACTGTCTCCTTAGAGTCTATTGGCTGAATGTCTTTGGGGCCAACAGGCTGTTGAAGAAGGTGCCTTTGGTGCACACGATATTCCTTTCTACATTTCTTTCTGTACCTCATGAAATCCCACAGCTTTGCAAGCTGCCGAGCTGAAAAACTGCAGAGCCTTCATCAAGCCTTGTTATTAATGAATTGCCTCCTAGCTAGTGAGCTGTGCCTCTGATCAGTACCTTGTTTTGAAAGGATGCACTCTGCAAGCATGGAACAGATGCGTGTTTTATCAGCTATGAAAGATGTTCTCAGATGTAAGCATACGTGTCTTCGTTCTACCAGGAAGCGTTACAGATGTTATTTTCTATAAGACAACATCTATACACTCAGCTCTGTGCCAGACACATGCAAGACTCTGTATGCAAAACATCCTTCCTGGCCCAAAGACGTCGCTGGCAAACAAAGCTCTGTCTGATTCCAAACCCATTAAGATGACGCTCATTTTTTCCTAGGCTGCCCTGTCCCTCAACAGTTTCCTTGTGCCTAATTAGGATTTAAACTGCTTTGCTTTTTTTCACCTACTCATCCCTCGTTGAAAGATCCTGAAGTATTTTTCACCTAACTGACACATTCTGCATCGCAACTGACACAAATGACTGCATTGAGATGCATTTCAGAAAAGATTTCCCATACTGCCTCTTAAAACAATGTTTTACTTGATAATTAAATTAATCCCCCCTTCAGAACTTTCCTTCCGAATTATTTAATGTCACCAAGAGCTGTGCAGCCCAGACATGAAAAATTATAATGGTTTCCAAATGAAAGTGACTGATTTGCTTCTAACTGCATATAAGCAAAAACATAATGATTTTATATTCATGAGTTATGTGATAGAAAATATGATCCCAACCTAAGAAGACAGAAATGAAATTACATAATTTACTATATAAAAGCTACGCCATGTTCTTATCCATACCTGATACTGAAATAGTCATAAGGCTGCACAGTCTTTCTTCTGTTATTTGAACCTAAAGGAGTTTGTCCCCCACTTCTATAATAGCATCTTTCTCCTATGATAGGACTTCTTCACTAAGCTGACAGGCGTGGTCTGCCTGCACCATGGCTCCATAGGTTTCTGTTTTCTGCACTATGTGTACCTTTTTCTCCTATTCTCATAAATGTCACTGCTCCTATATCTTGATTGCAAAACTGCTGCAAGCTGGAGCACAAAGCATTGCTGGTTTACCTTTAAGTCATTTTTAATTACCCTTTCTCTTCCCTGATAACTTCTTATACAGAATTTCTCCTGGATAACTTGTTTTACATAAGGATAATTCACTTCAAGACATGCATGGGAAGGAGAAGACTCCAAGATACTGCTCAAAGAAGCTGAAGCTTATATTGTCAATCAGATAGCATGGATAGACCCAGGGGGACTTGCCTCTCATCTCCCAAGAGAAGAAAACAAAACACCATAGCCAGAACTCTGAAAAAGGTCTGGCAGAAATGTCTGTTTTAAAGATCACAGGTTTACTTACAAAACTGAAATCTAGCTATGAAAAAAATCTCAGTAGTGATCTGTGACATAGCCTTGACATTTCATCTCTGGGAAGACCATCTGACAGTACACACAAAAATATTCTTTTAACCTAGAAAATAAAATCTTATTTTCTTATAAATCTTATTTTCTTATTTCTTTTCATATTCTTGCATATAAACATCTTATTTTTACTATAACAATTAGATCAACTTTTCTGAAAACATGTCTTTTTGGAAGTGGTATTACAGGATCTAGAATATGTTGATAAATATCAGTTAAAATGCCTGAGTGATTTTACATAAAATCAGTAGGTATATTAATTGCTGCCACCCAGTGGGCTCATTTGTATGCTTTGGCTCACCATAATATAATTTAATACATCGTTGTTTGGGTAAATGACTTCATCCTCTCCATTTGAGAGAGTGCCATTTATTTTCCTCTATCAGCAGCCACTAAAAATGAATGTTTCCAGCTACAAGCTGTGGTTGATCTAAAACAAATTGTCCTACAAAAATCTTTTCATCATATTTCTAGAGTGGAAACAGCCTCATGGAAAGTAAAATACATGCGAGCTTCAAGCTAACTGAATGTAACCTGCTTAGCCTTCTGGATCTACCTGCAAAATCCAAGGCAAATACTTGGTTCTGTATAAATGACAAATGCTCTAGCAGAGTTACCTGCAGCTCCACTGGTTCCAGCAGAAGTCACCACTTCTCAGCACACCTTAGGACATGGCCTGTATGACATCGAAGTGAATAAACTGGCTCTTAAAACTGGGCTGCTGTGTTAACAATTTCTATAATCTATATAAGTGTTATGAATAATGAAATAAGACACTGGCAATGACAACACATTATTGAAGAGCTGTTAAGTGCTGCATTATGATTTCATTTAATGCTGCTTTTGGCTGAGAGAGCTTGCGTGCCTATGTGTGAGGAGGAGGAGGGAGTGAAGGGAGGCTGCTTAGTATTCTTCTTGTTGACCTATATTTTTAATTTAGCTACTTGTTTAATTTAGAGCATGTTCTTTTCAGAAGGACTGGCCATTTGGAGGAGTATTATGCTGTCCGTAATTTTTGTGCACTCAGAGGTCTTATTGGGTAAGACTGTAGTACAACTTGATGCCAAGAGTGAAGAAAAAGAGGGAGGAAAAAAAAAAAAGTCCACTTACATATTCCTGGATTACCCAGACTTAATTTGTAATCCTGCAAACCAAGGCTGTCCACCACAACATTGGATACAGGTGAGGGGGCAAAATGCAACAGAGAGCAAGGATAAGAACTGAAAATTAAAACTTAGTCTTGAGTCTTGATTCAAAACCAGAAGATTATGCATAGAAATAAATTATTTTCCTGCCTTGCCATAAGGTAAAAAGAAGGTTGAGTAAGAAGCACGCTTCCGGATATAGCTCCTGGGGAGGTCCTTTTTCAGCAAAAGGGACTGTCCCTTTTGCTGACTTTACTGGGAGTGCCGCAAAGTAAGGTAATGCTCTGCAGGAGAAAAAGGTGAAAGAATTTGGCCTCAGTGGTTTATAGAGGCTAAATAAATCTACTGCAACAAATCCAGTGTATCTGGAGGTTGAAATGGAGGAATATATTACATCCGTATACAATATTGCTGGTGCTCAAGCACAGCATGGGCACAGATGCAGGGAAAAAGATTTATTCCAGCAATGACAATGGAACCACTTCTGTAACCAAAGACACTGGGAATGAAATCACCTTTATTGCTCATCAATGGCAAAAAAAAAAAACACAACACCCTTTTGCTTCCTGCCTATAAAGCCATTCACCTTTGATGCTACAGAAAACGACCAATAAATCACATGGTAAATGCAATTTCCTCCTACATTTTTAATAATTCTTCATTCCCTGCATGAACCTCAGCTGGAGGAAAAATAAAAACTCTCCAGAGCTTACCAGTTGGAAGTGTTACAATATTGATTTCCCAGAGAAGGTCACAGATCCAGCTTGTGTTTTTTTTGCCTATTCCCCAAACAAGATATAAGACCAAAGCATCACATGCCGGGAAGTTCAGACCAGACAAGAAATGACAAAAAAATGGGAAAACTGAAGCAAAATAGAAGGGATTCTTGAATTCCTACAACATAGGGAGAAATTAAGAAAGCATAATAAGAAATTGTTGAGGACTTCATAGTTACTTCATCATCACTGTCACTAATACACTATTCAACTTCATTTCATCATTTAGACCATAGTTGGTCTAAAAACTGATGTTTATGGATCTGACCATTTAATATTTCTTATTCTATGATAAGTGAATTTCACCAAATAACTCTGAGTCTGAGTTAGAAGCAGACCTCTTTGTTTCAAGAAATAACGTGAAAGATCATGATTGTGCATGCTGGGGGGGGAACATTGAATAATTAATTTGTACCCAATAAAATGATAAGGATGTTGGTAATCTAACATAACTCTCCACATGTACAACTATTACTCATTCAATCAAGTGAAATAGAGTTCTATTACTTGAGTTCTTTATTTCTTCCAAGTTCAAACAATGCAAAAAAAAAAATCTCAGACAGATACAGACCTCTTGCCTTACCTGTTGGCAGTTGAGTTGGACTCTGTAAACCGTCTGGTGGCTATGCTTCCCAAAGAGATAAAAAAGTCAGCTGCTGTTTTGACACTAATATTATGTTTTTCTTTTTTTTTTTTTTTTCCTTCACAGCTCCCTTCAACCCTCCCAACTCTGCAGACAGTATGGTCAAATTCGATGCCTATGGAGATGGGATAGGCCGGTACAATGTGTTTAACTTCCAGTACACTGGAGACAGATACTCCTATGTGAAGGTTGGTCACTGGGCAGAAACCTTGTCACTTGAGGTGGACTCCATCCACTGGTCGAGGAGCTCTGTCCCTGTCTCGCAGTGCAGCGACCCCTGTGCTCCCAACGAGATGAAGAATATGCAACCAGGAGATGTCTGCTGTTGGATTTGCATTCCCTGTGAAACATATGAGTACCTGGCTGATGAATTCACCTGTGCAGACTGTGGGCCAGGGAAATGGCCCACAGCTGACCTGACTGGCTGTTATGACCTACCAGAAGACTACATCAAGTGGGAAGATGCTTGGGCAATAGGTCCTGTTACCATTGCATGCCTGGGCTTTATTTGTACTTTTATGGTCATTGCAGTGTTTATCAAGCACAATAATACTACCCCTTGTCAAAGCCTCTGGCCGTGAACTCTGCTACATATTGCTCTTTGGGGTCTTCCTGTCATACAGCATGACTTTCTTCTTCATAGCTAAGCCTTCTCCAGCTATCTGCACCCTGCGTCGCCTGGGGCTAGGAAGTTCCTTTGCTGTCTGCTACTCTGCCCTCCTGACAAAAACAAACTGCATAGCCAGAATATTTGATGGTGTTAAGAACGGTGCCCAAAGGCCTAAGTTCATCAGCCCCAGCTCTCAGGTCTTCATATGCCTGAGTCTCATTTTGGTACAGATTGTGGTGGTGTCTGTGTGGCTCATCTTGGAGGCCCCTGGCACCAGGAGGTACACTCTTCCTGAGAAAAGAGAGACTGTCATATTGAAATGCAATGTTAAAGATTCCAGTATGTTAATCTCCTTAACATATGATGTAATCCTCGTAGTTTTATGCACTGTGTATGCCTTCAAAACAAGGAAATGCCCAGAGAACTTCAACGAAGCCAAGTTTATCGGTTTCACAATGTATACAACGTGCATCATTTGGCTGGCCTTTCTCCCCATATTTTATGTGACATCCAGTGACTACAGAGTAAGTCTTTGGATATGTGTTTCCATAAATCATGTGCACCACTTAGAGGACCCTGTCATCATTCATTCACTAATATCTTCTCTCAACATCCTTTGTCCCCTGGATCCCTCACAAACAAACAGTTTCAATGTTAATGCCCACCCAAGAATATTACAAAATTTTAGCTTATTTCTAAGAAAGATGGTCTCATTTTGAACTGTGTATGTATGGCTGGAGGTGGAAGTGATTAGTACAATCACTCTGATTGTTATAGAGACAGAACATACAAATTAAATATTCATACTAGTACATCAGTATGTGGAGCTATAGTCCTACCAGTAAACACAAGATCATGAGCTAGAGTGAGTCATAAGCTAGAGTGAGTTATTTGGTGGGGGTGGGCCTTAAATTAAAACTGAAGTAACTAGTTCCCTTCTTTTTGTTGTTGTTGTTTTGTTTTGTTTTATTTTTTGTTTGTTTTTAATTTCGAACATTTTATGCTTTAACATAGAACTTTTTAGTTTCTCTCCACTTTGTAGAAGATAAAACACATACCTCACTGAGCAGAAAATATTGGTCTACAACCTTAAAAAATACTAAATTGTTTAAATTGCTACATATTCTTGCAAAGCTTCAGGTTCAATAAGATTGTATTTTTGGACAGAAGGAAATTGTCTCAGAAAAAAATTCTGATCTGCTCCACTGGAAATCTCACAGTTATTATGATGTGAGAAGTGACTGATGGAGTTGGCCCTTACAACAAATTATACTGAATTAATTCAACTTTCTGCCCAGAAGAAGGGTAGGAGACTAACTTAGGGTGCAATTATCAACAGTAGTTTGTACAAGAGATGGCTTGTAAAACCAGAGACTTAATAATGTCACTTAACATGCTTAGTGCGACCATCCCGAACCATTATGTTTAGTACTATTTTTCTCAGCTTAGGAAAGGTACTGAAAACCTCGAGAAAACAAGGGTAGATAACAAACGACCACAGTAAGACACACAGAGTGACAGTAAAAGAGCTAAATATATTTAGTCTAGACAAGAGTAAACCCAGGGAGACGTGATCATAGACTATAAATAATTTCAAGGCAACAAAAAGAAAGAAAAGAATTATTCAGTCTCAGGAGAAGTTAGAATGGAGAGTAATGACTTGAAGCTAATGAAGGAAAAGTTTAAGGTGTGCACTGGGGAAGAGCTCCTGACACTCAAAGTAATCAGGAAGATAGACACAGAAGGAAGGTAATATTGGTGCGGACTGTCACACAAGTGGGCAGCACAGGCACTAATGGTCAAGAGGAGCATGACAATTGCTCAAGCAATATTTTTAGCCTCGTCTCTTGAGTGGGATTTTTCAGCAGCACCTATGGGGATTTAATTTAAATAAAAGGTTCCAAATAAGACAACTTGAGTCCTACTGAGATAACAGAAAATTAGTTTGACACCTTTTCGATACTTTCATGACATGTCAGGAACTTTTTAAAAATCCCATTCTATATGAGTACATTTTTGGCTTTCCTTTGAAAATCTCATTTACTTTCCATGAAGTATCACATGTAGACTACAAATCAACGTTTGCCGTCCTAATGTATACCGATACTGGTGGCATCACTAATGAGAAAACATAATATCAGAGAAACATAATATTAGCAAAGAAAAAAGTAAATGCTGACTGGCTTGAGATTCATTACTAGGACTCACACTTCTGAAAAAAATAAGGGGGAGAACTTCTAGAAATGTATCCCAAGATTTGGTGTTGGCCTCAAATTCAGTTCAAAAAAAAAAATATATATATATACATATATATATATATATATATATATGTATATATATACGTATATATATTTAATACTAATCCCTACCAATAATGATGTGGAAATGTCCCTGTATGAACCCTATATGAGAAGCACCAGACAGCATGTTAGATGTGTTGGGATAGCATGCATCTTTACATCTTACAGATCAACCCACCAAACAATCCTGCTATTTAGTTAAGGCCTCCTCTACTTTGATAAGGGTTTATAGTATAGCTGTGTTTTTTTCTTCTAGACTAAGCTTGCTTATATTTTCAAGACCAATATTACTTTTTTTTTCCCTAAATAAAATCAATTTTACCAGCAAATGAAATTCTGAGGGAAGAGTTTACAGTTGAACTCATAGTGATTCGATCATGAGGTCAGCTGTGGGATTTTTACACACACATTTTGTCTTCCCATAAGCACCAAGGTTGGAAAGGATTGCCACTCCAGATTGCCTCAACCAACCTTCCCTGCTCAAAGCAGAGTTACCTGCAACAGGCTGCTTAGGGCTATGGCCAGTTGGGTGTTGAATATCTCCAAGGGTGAAGACTCCACAGCCTCTGTGGGCAATCTGTACCACCATTTGACCATCCTCATAGTTTACTTATGTTTAAAGAAAATTTCCCTTATTTCATTTTATGCCAATGGCCTATGTCCTGTCACTGGGCACTACTGGGAAGAGTCTGGCTCCCTCTTCTTTCCTCCCACCTCCCACACATGCACACTGATAAGATCCATCTCAGCCTTCTCTTCTCTGAGGTTGAGCAACCCCGTCTCTCTCAGCCCCTCCTCACAGGCAGTTGCTCCAGTTTCTTAATCATCTTTGTGGCCCTTTGCTGCACTCACTTCAGTAGATCCATGTCTCTCTTGTACCGGATAGTCCAGAGCTGGGTACAGCACTCCAAAGGTGTCTCACTAGTGCTGAGAAGAGGGAAAGGGATGCGTTTCTTGACCTGCTGGCAACACTCTGCCTAATGCAGCCCAGGAGGCCTACCAGGAGACTTACCCAGAGCTGCAAGGGCACGTTGCTGGCTGATGATCAACTTGCTGTCCATCACAGCCCTCAGTACCTCCTCTGCAAAGCTGCTTCCCAGTTAGTTGGCTCCCAGCTCATACTGGTACATGGGGTTATCCTGCCCAAGCTGCAGGACTGTGCTTTTCCCTTCAGTGAACTTCAGTGAGTTTCCTAACTACCCATTTCTCGTGTATCAACCACTCCTCCCAGTTCTGTTTCATGTTTCATTTCCAAAGTTATTGAGGGTGCACTCCGTCCCATCATCCCAGCTGTTAAGGAAGGTGTTAAGCTGCATTGGCCCCGGTATCATCCCCTGGGGTACAACACCAGTGAGTGACCTCTGGCTGGAATTCGTGCCACCGATCAAAAGCCTCTGAGCCTGCAGCCCAGCCAGTTTTCAGTTCACCCCACTGCCCACTTTTCATATCGTCAGCTTGTCAATGAGGAAGTTATGGGAGAGAGTGACAACTACCAGATACTTTCTCATCACCCACATTGTCAGTTATTTCACTGTAGAAGGAGATCAGGTTGATTAAGCAGAAATCCTCTAACTTCTGCAGGAAGACCACCTCCCAGTCCTCCCCAGTCCTCCCCAGGCATCCCTGCAGCTCCAGCACTGCAGATCTGCACCCCTCCTCAGGAGCTCAGTCTGGTTTGAGTCCTCTGGTGTGTCAGGTATACTTGTCCCAGTTGGGGACCATGCCCTGTGGCACACCACCATCACTCAGCACAGAAATATAGCCTTCAGCATCATTTCTAACCCTCTTCTGTGCACACTTCTGCATGCTGCTGAACCTATTAGCTGCCCAGCACTTACAGAAGGCTCTTCCCAGCACCTGCAACATGAGTGCCTAACCCTCCTGGGGCACAAGCTCCAGCACTCTTTGATTAAGGGCAGCTGACAGCTCCTTAGGAGCTGCTGGAGGTTGGTAGAAGTCACAGCTTCCTACAGGAATCCTTTTCCCAGCAGCAGTAAGACACCCTGACATTCCTTGGAGTCTTCCCAGGAATCCCTCAATGATCCCAGAACTAGTTTCCAGAAAGTCCCAGAAGCAGAACCCAGAAACTGCTGTGTTCGGTGGCTGCACTCTCAGAAATTTAAATGAGAGCTTCTGGAAAAGACTGATGCTATTGATTTTCATGCAGAGGTCCACATTGATTTCATCAAGGAGTTATCCTTCAGAATCAAAGATACAAAGAAACCTGATGTGACTAATAAGCACACATATTTCACAGCAGCTCCAATACCTAGCACGCTTGAGGGATTTTTTTTTTCACCCAATTACCTTAGACAAAACCTAAAGAAATGCAGATACACAGGAAGGGAAAAGTCTGGGAGTTAGACTGGTTATAATGAAATCATGTGTCAGAAGTTGCTACTGTTTAGACAGCTTCTCCCTGTATTTTCTTCAGGTGTAATTCTGGCTGCAGGAGCTCACTCCCCTGCCTGGGAGATCCTGCATGCTCTAGCAGGATTGCCTTGGCTCTGCCAGCACTGGGGTCTGTGGGGCTAGATTACACCTGGAGCCTCTGAGTGACACGGGTGGAAAGACACCCTAGGGGGACTATTTTTATCCCAAACCATTTCATTGATCAGCTGTGTAATTGTGTCTGCACAGCTGAGCTGCTCCCGAAGGCACAGACCATATCTTGAAAATACTGGATGGATGTTTGTTTTATTAGAAAACTTCTAGTCCTATTTTACCCGTACAGTGCTTGGTTCAAGACCTGCTCAGAAGTGATGGCAGATGCCTGGGGACCAAACACAGATTGGTGACCTAGAAAGTGCAGAAGGTGTCCCTTTCTCATAATGTCCCTATAGGGTCTTCCATGATCCCTCACCTCATGAAATCTGAGCATCTTTCCATTACACTTGCCACATCCACCTTTGATAAACAGTGAATATGAATTATTTGATGACATAAATTTTACTCACTGCTAGCAATGCACTTGGTGCTCTGTGGTTATATAAAGCTACAAAGTCCATTCCGTACTCCAATTTTTATTTTGCAACAACTATTTCTGATGAGGAGACGTGAGAAGCATTCCCATGGAAGAAGGCTAATCTCCAAGGACTGCAGGAGTGTAACTAAGGCAAAACGAGTCATGGATGTATGATCATTCAAATTAAGCAGTAGATTTTATGGCAGTTTAATTCAACATCTTAATTAAGGAATCTGCTTGGAAGAAAAGAATATAAACTGAACATGAGGCAGTAAACCGGCACCTAGTTGTGAAAAAAGAGGAAGATAGACAGTGACAGAAAAGCTATGCTAACAAATGGCCCAAGACAATTATTCCAAAATCCTGTAGACTTACAAAAAAAAAATCATCTCAGCCCAAAGGTCCCTGCCTCAAACCCAGGGCACGTTTCAGGATCGGCCTGGCAAATGTCACCAGTTCTTAGGCTTACTCAAATTCATACCTATGTCTCAGTAAGGGATTGATCAGGTTCTCTGATTAGGATTGAAGCTGGAGGCTAAAAAGGTTTTCAAATGGATGCTTTGCACGAAGCGTCAAATGTTACCCCATGTGAAGCACTGTGCCTGCAGCCTGGTTTCCAGTGTGGCTGGCTTTGCTCAGTTGCAGCATTACAGTCTTCAAACTGGTAATCAAGGGTATCGGGGTAAAAGAAAGAGACCCTTCTCATTCTTGTGCTAAGCTGAGGGAGAACACACTTGGTCAAGCACCCCTTGATAATATGCAGAGACACAGAGCACCATCAGCACCATGCAGCTCTGTTGTATGATCCTAGGATTGTGGAAGATAGGGATGAAACAGATGTTCAAGCCAGCCTGTACCAGTGCTGATTGTGATTCCTACTGTTGTATGATGATGATGCTTCTAACACTCTGAATTTCCGAGCTTTCCACACTGAAACCTGGCCCTTTGCCCCCGCTCTCTCCCAGGTGCAGACCACCACCATGTGCATCTCCGTGAGTCTGAGTGGCTTCGTTGTGCTGGGCTGCCTGTTCGCGCCCAAGGTGCACATCATCCTCTTCCAGCCCCAGAAGAATGTGGTCACGCACAGACTCCACCTCAACAGATTCAGTGTCAGTGGGACCGGGACCACTTACTCCCAGTGTAAGTAGCAAAACCTGTTGCCTTTCTGTAAAGATGTGGGGTTGCAGTGGGGTAAAGGCAGAGGCATGGTTTTTTACCAGCAACCAAAAGCCTTTTGTAGGCAGGGCTGTGTAGCCCATGGAAGCATCACTTCGTTTGTGTCAGGAGAGAAAAACCTATCCTCCTCCCATGGGAATGAGCTTGGAGCCTGATCTAAAGCTCACTGAAGTCAGCAGAGAGCTTGCAGCAGGCTCTAACTCCAGCCTGTTCGGCACAAAGCAAGGGGGACCTCTTCGCTTGCTGTCACTCTGGCAGCAGCACCAGGAACAGATTGCCCTGAGGTATTCCCATCAAAATGACACTCTGGCAGGACCCAGGCCACAATGCAGCTCTCTCTTGATGATTTTTATCACCTGAGTTAAAAAGGAAAAGCTCTAATTCTGCAGCAAGCACGTACAAGGAATGCCAGAAACCATTTCTGTATGCTGAGTGTGAGCAACACCCTTTGTAAATGCCACAGAAGAGAAAAGCAAGCAGTGCTGTGCTGCAAGGACAGCTCACCTGCTCAGCCTCCCTCCTTCCCTGTGCCTCCATCCCAAGCAGACTCATGTCTGTGATTTTGTTATGAGGCTGTGGCTCTTCTTCTGGGTGTGTTATTTGGAGACTTTTAGGGTTTAAAAAAATAGGTCACATATATGTCTTTTTTTTTTCCTTGTCAAACTTAACAAGGCAAGGATGGGAGCACACAGCATCTTGTTCATGGAACTCTGCAGACAGCATGCCTAACCTGGATAGCTGGTCGAAAAACACACCGCATCTAGAGAGAGGCGAGGAATAAGAGAGAGAAGAAAGTGGGGATGCACAGAACAAGGTTTGCCAGGAAGTTCACACTAATCTAGCCTCAGGTTTTTGAATGTGACTCAATTTTTAAAAATTTCTAAACATTTTTGGTACAACAGGCTTCAGTCAGAATGTGTAAGGAGCTATAGACCCTGCAGTGTGTCAGATGGGCAGGGATGAGGAGGTAGTGGGAACCCAGCCATCCCTGGCTCTCCCTTCCCAAACCACTCTGTGCCTTGTATGCCTGGGGGCCCTTAACGAGAGAGAGCAGCCATGTGGCCCTGCACATCCTCTATCTCATCCAGCCTAGGCTCCAGAATCCAAAATTATTTGCTATTTCTGAAAACTTAAATAAAGAGGGATGAGATGACCCTAAATGTCTAAAGTGCAGAGCACTCTCAAAGGGGCTGGACTTGCAAGACCCATGGTTTCCCAAAAAACTTTAGAAGCTTGGCCATCTGACAAAATGGTAAGTCTCCTGTGATTATTTTTGTCCACTACGGATTTTGTAAAGATGTTTTTTTTTCTGATTATTTTTTTTTAAATTCCCTCATACTATTAAATAAGCTGTCTGAAACCAATTTTATTCATGGACAATTTTGTACAGGATCGCATTTTGGAATTAGATATTTTGTTTTTAATTGTAAGTACTGGATAATATAGGTATGTATATGTGCATGCATGCAACTGAGATCCTCAGTCTATACCTTTAGATTAAGAGCTCACTTTTTCAAGTTTGTAAGTATCTTTAAGACATTAAGGGAAATATAAAGATCAAGTCTTACAACCTTTTGTTACTCCAGTGGTTAGAAAGATTTCCTTGTTCCTTTGCCTTTCATGCTTACACCTGGCTGAATAAGGCGTGATGGTCTCTGTTGGTCTTTTTGGACCACAAGACACAGAAAGGACCTGGAAGAGAGACAAAAAGTTCCATCCTATATAATGGAAAAAAAAAAAAAAGCAGTTCCCACCTAGGGAGATTATTTAAAGAAATAACAGTGGGAATTTGTTATCTATCCTATCAGCAATATTTTTGAGGAGAACTCTCCCTCACACCCTTCCATTTATTTGTTTATGATTGTAATGCATTTTTTAAAACTGTGTAGTCATTCATAAACCTCCAAAGCCATTGTCATACAAATGTATTCTAATCCATACCACGGCCCTTTCCATGCCTGCTATCGGCCTGCTTCTACCTGTTCATCACTACCAGTTCATCTCTGGGTACGTTCCTTCAATGGCAACAGGCATACAGCAAGACAACATCAATAACCACACAGCATCTATTCAAAAAAAAAAAAAAAAAAAAGGAATCTGAAATATTCCTCTCATCAGTCCCAGAGCTGTCAGCTTGTTTCTCCTTTGGTCTTGATGGTGCTTTCATCAGTCAGAAACTGCTTAATATGAGGCTGATCAAATTAGCTACAGGGCATTCTGGTGTCAGCAACATCCAAACAGCCAGTTCTTGTTCATTATCAGAGCTTCAGAGAACAGGAGGTCCCCCTACACCCTTTTGCAGCTTCAGATTCTTGAAAAGTATGTTTCTTACCCCCATGTCTTTCCATCTCTGTTGGCTAGGGGCTGCCACCACCTCCTTACTCTATCAGTCATTAATGCCATGAGCTGAGTGGGCCATGAACAGCAAGTGACTTGCTGAGACTTTTAAGAAGTAGGATATATGTGTACCTAGGTACACAACATGCTCTGAAATGTTTATATCCATACATGCTTATTTGGAACTGAAAATTCACCTTTGGCAGAGCACAAATTCTGCTTCCGTTATCCAGAGTTTTGCCCAGTTTTCCTGGGGACTGTTTTATGGGGCACAGAAAAGATGTTTCCATAAGGTAAGAGATCAGCACTCATAAACCTTCCTAGAGAGCTCAGGACTGATTTAAGCACCTACATGATGGGGGCTGAGCTTTTACAGCCCAAAGGTGTAATTCCCTCCATTTATGTCCCCATGGAGAGCTGCACACAGACTTCAACTCCTCCAGGTAGTCCTCCACAGGGGTCAGAATAAGAACCGAAGCTACTGTTTACAGCCAAGCTGGTAAATTTTCTCTCTCATAACTTCTTCGCCTGGCCCTAGCTCCAAACGAGTGCTGATATATGGCTTTTATACATAATTAACTCACAGCTGTCCAGCTGTGAGCATGGGTAGAGGAAGTTGCACACAACAAGTTTGAGTCTGCCTGACTATAGAGGTATGGTGCAAGGTGCCTACAGTGGTGCTGAGCTCTTGTGGTTTTGCTCTGATTCTTTTCCTTGGATTATCTAATCAAAATTGATTCTGGAAAAGAGGAGATCAAAAGAGAACAACTTTTCACTTGGGCAGATAGTGATAGGACAAGGAGTAATGGCTTTAAACTAAAAGAGAGGAGATTTAGATTATATATTAGGAACAAATTCTTCACTCTGAGGGTGGTGAGGCCCTGTCCCAGGCTGCCCAGAGGAGCTGTGGCTGCCCCATCCCTGGCAGTGCCCAAGGCCAGGCTGGATGGGGCTTTGAGCAGCCTGGGCTGCTGGGAGGTGTCCCTGCCCATGGCAGGGGGTGGCACTGGGGGGGCTTTGAGGTCCCTTCCGACCCAAACCATTCTGGGATCCTATGAAAAGCATGAATTGCAGGCACATCAAGACTTCTGGTCTTGTCTTACATTTCTGCATGGCCTGAACACAAGGCAAAATGGAGGTGAGGTGTCCCTAGCAGGTTCACCGATCTTTCAGGAGACCCTGCACTTGCTACATGGCAAGAAGTTCTGAACTCTACAGTGCCAATGCTTAAGATTGTAAGGAAAAGTAAAATCTTTTGTTCAGACAACTGAGAGAGCTGGACACTCAGTGTGAACTCCACCCAGCAGAGTTAACACCTGCCTCCCAGCACTACAAGAGCAGTGCTTTCACATGCTGTGAAGAAAGCCTGGAGACTGAAAAGGCACGGCCACTTGTTCGTCGCCTACCACCATATACCTCCGTCCAGCTTTGGCATCCTCCTGACCCACTTACCGTGCTATTCATACTCTTTTTAGTGGGCTGGACGTCAAAGAGCCCCTGAAGCTAAAAAAGTTCTGGGTGGGCGACTGATTCTGACAGAACCTAAATGCTTTTGCCTGTAGTCATACTGGAGAAGAACTAGAGTTTAAAACAAGTCTCCTAAGTAGTACGGATTTTTCTGTTTGCCTATCGTAAGTGGTAATAAAATAACAATAAGAAAAACTTCAGGTCAGTGTACTGCCAGGCTATCTCCAGTTAAAAACCAAGTATAGCTAATTAAAACCTGATAGCTAATTTCATAAAATCCTAGACTTGAGTTCCTGTCCCCTTCTACCCACAGATTTAAGCACAGATACAAGTTGTGAGAGATGAAATTTCATCTAATTCAAATCAAGGGCTCATTCTTGGTTCTTCAGCTTATTAGGGTATGTCCCACCCTCGGAGTATCAGGTTAGTCCATGGCTTCCTCTCAATTTGTCATGTTAAAGCAGTTCTATTTTCCATGAAATATTTACTCCATCAATGAAGAATTAGAAATAGGAGCTTATTTGAAGAAATAGTGATCTATTCTGAAAATGATGCTGAGAGTATTTAGAGAACCAGTCTGCAACCAAGACTGCAGCCAGCACCAGTTTTGGAAGAGTGAGCATGCCCTTGTCAGCTACATAAATTGCTTTTTACACTGGATGATTGAGTTTACTAAGTCATTGCTTGCTGTGTGTTTTCTTTGATGAAGGCATCACATTTCTCGGGGTCACTGTTATCATTAACCCAATGTATCTTTCAAAAAACAGCTTTATGGTGCTGTAAGCAGAGATGTCACAGAGCATCGGAAAACACATTCCTGATGCCCAGTGGATAATTTTTACAAAGATGGACTAACCAGCTTGCTTTTGAATTAAAAACCACCTGTCTTTGGCAGAATGGTAACATATCCTACAGTCAAAATGCAACTACATTTGAAAACAGATTCTGGTACTCAGATTCAATTGTCATATCACTGAAGCAATGAAAACTTGTTGAAAAAAAACATTAGGCAATATAGATAGGGAAGAGAAACAGAATTTAGCCCTTACCTCTGGATGCACACTTAGATCCTGATCCAGAGATCCTAGAAATCAAGGGGATTATGGCCACAAAATATTCTGGGACTACTGTGAGAAATAATTTTGCTTTCAAATTCAGATATTAAAAAATATTAATTCCATCCAATATGCACATAGATTTTTTATTATTTTTTTTTTTTATAATTAAAAATAGAGTAACACACAGCTCTAATGTGCAGAGGTGAATTCTCTCCTGGATTTAAAAATGCATGTGTTTTATTTCAGGAATGTCCACTCCAATCACATGAAAGCTTGTAGGATCAATTCATGCCAAGAAGAAATGAAAAATCCACAGGTTCACAGTTTTACTCTACAGAGATATCTTTGCACCACTCTAGCTACATTCAGTTCACGCTACCATGCAAAATGTTACGATTTGAGACCTATGGCCCAGAATCATCACCAAAAAAAAACCACCACCAACAACAACACAAAAAACTTCAGGCATTTTATTCAGACACTTCTTTGTCAAGCTTAATCACCCTAAGCTCTCTTAGCAAAGAAAAATCAGGTTCCTCCAGAGGGTTCCTCAGCCTCAGATCTGAATTGTCTCCTAGAGGTGCAAGCACACCTCCAGCAGCCCCACAGCTGACACAGTCACCTCTGCCAGTGACTTGTCATTGAGTATCTTAGTTAAATTGGGTGAGATGGTCCAGATCCTCATCCTATGCATTGTGATTCTGTCGCCCCCAAAGTTAGTTGATTTTCTCCTCTTTCTCTTTCAGCATCTGCTAGTATGTACGTACCGACCGTCTGCAATGGAAGGGAAGTCCTGGACTCCACCACCTCATCTCTGTGATTGTGACTTGCGGTTCAGTTCTTGAGTTTTTAGACTGTTAGGCAAAATTTTGCACATGTTGTGCACTCCAGAAACACCAGAAGACAAAAGAAAACAAAACAAGACTAGTACCTTTTTTTAGAAACAGTGTAATAAATTATTTTTGAGGATTGTACAGTATATAGTGATGTTCTGGAACTTTTTAGACTGATTTTAGCCCTTCTGTTGTTAACGGTTGTAAGGGACGTGTAAATAGCCATGGTTCACAACGTGCATAGTCCTGCAGTAAGGGAGTGATTTGTTGCAAGCACAGTTGCAATGTTAGGTGACTTCTTTCCTACGAAATTTTTTTGTAGCTCCTTGTTGTAATTAACTTAGACTGCATTTCTATGTTGTATATTACAGTTACCTTACGTGTAACAGGTTGGTTTTCTCAGCACAAAACAGCAGTATTAATGTAAAGGCACCAATAATAAAGAGATAAAAGTTTTTCAGCATGGTTTCATTTTTGTTTCTTCCCCCCTCAAGGTCATCATGCTCCTGAGGGGACTTCCCTAAACACCAGGGGAGGTAGAAAGGATAAAAAGCCTGCAGTTTAAGCATGTATGTGTACACTTAGGTGTGTATGAGTGTGTGCCCGTGTTACTAAATCCACATCACATAGTATGTGTTTATGATGGATGCTTTGTCAGGGCCAAGTACAAATCTCCTCTCCTTAAAAAAATATAATAAAAAAGCACATTATTAAAGCATCTCAAGTGCTTCTCTTGTTTTTAAAATGCAGGATAATTTCCAAAAGTGAAAATGTCTAATTGCATCTCAATGAGGTATTAGCAAAAAAAATAAAAATAAAAATGATTACTGGTTCACTCATTTGGCATGAATTCAATTCGTCAAGCCCAGAGTAGACTGGTAGCATATAAAAAGCAGAGAGATTTTAGATTAGGTTGGCAAAGAGAGAGAATAAAATCTGTCAGAAAATTAGCTAAGACGGTTTTACACCTCCAGCCAAAACAAAGCTGGTTCCGTTTGCCTGCATCACCGCTGCCGTGAAAAGTAATTGGAGCGCTACGGAGACCAAAAAAAGTTACAAAAGAGAAATGTAGGAGACCTTTGCACATGTCTCTGGGGTGACCTTTGCATTCAAACCAAACAATTCAAGACGCATACACACAGTGGCTACTGAGATGACTGCAAAATACGCTTAAAGTCTGGCTTTCATAGCTGCTCTCTGCAAGCCACGCTCGCTCTATTGAAACAATCTGAAATCCTCCCTTCTGCTGGGTCCAATAAGTCATTAAGGAAACAAACACACCTTTGATTAATGTGTCTGGGCATATTTACCTAAGGGCTTGTTCCCGTTGATCTCATTCCAGCTAAGGTCAATAGCAAAAGTCGCATTGACTTCAAAGGCAACACCAGTCAGGCTTGAAAGGCAGAGACCAGAGATACATGTTGGTTGTACAAGTTCTCTGGAGCCCAATTTTCATTTACTTTCAGAGGTTTTTACACATTTCTTGAAAGGTGCAAGTCCTTAGGGCTGAACTGGCAAAGGAAATAGTCATTTTGAATGTAAAAATTAAACACATTCTTAAAATTCCTACTCACAGGTAGATGAATAATTCTTTTGCATACCCACATGTTCACCAGTGAAGATGTCTAGATGTCTACTCCTCTTCAGCTAGCTACATGAGCAGCTATTTCAGCCTCTGGACCGTTCAGCACTGAAATCCCTGTGACTTTCCCCAAATAGCTATTGCTCAACCCATGTTACATGCCGAGCCCTGCTGTCAGCTTCTTTATCTCCACAAGCTCTAGAGTGCCTGATGTTTCAGGCTTGGTGCCCACCTTGATGCATAGCACAGGTTCGGAGTATTGTTTTCTCAATCAAGACCCCTCAAAGGAACTCCAGTTGGGCAGTGGCATTAATGGGACCTTTGTATGCTCTTTTGTAGAATAAGAGGCAGTTCACGGTACGGCAAAAGGTCAAAACGTCTGATCATAATGTTAATGTGCTTGCATCAACATCATCTTTATGAGCATCTTAAAAATGCCCAAGCGAGGGAGAATTTCTTCTCATTTTTTATGGGAAGCAACAATCAGGGTCAGATCTACTTCACCTAACACCCACTGCCTACAATATAGATAACTACCTATGAGACAGTCAACCTCTTCTCACTTTGTGGATAGAAGTGAGCACAAGTCCCCTGACTTACCTTGGTTTGCTACTTTAGACTGAGATAAATCTCTCTAAGCAAGGTCTAACACAGCTTGTTCAGATCACAAAGTTTACACCAAAAAGAATGGCATTCTGTCAGATGAACTGCACCCCTAAAATCTAAATTGGCATCACTGAAGCTGATTTATAACAGGTGAGGATCTTATTGTCCCCAAGTTTTCATTCATTTCGATAGCACTATTGAGAAAATGACCTAATGTCTGTGTCAGAACACATGTTATGAATACTAAGGGGGTTTGAAAGCCACTTGCTTGTGGGTTTTTTTACACACACACACACACACACAAAAAAAAAAAAAAAAAAAAAAAAAGCACATTGGTCTTCTGGAGTTCCAGCCCCATTTAATGTTCCAGATATTCCTGTATTTCACTTAGTTTGTTTTCTGAAAGCTTTTTACAGCTTTCTGCTGGAATAACCTGGGATTCAGGGTATATGATATTGCCTGACGCTTCAAGTAATCCACTTTCAAAACACAGCAAAACAAAAGGAAAATGTCAAAGCCTGGCAAAACCCTTGCACACTGCACTGGCATAAAAATCTCCTGAGAATGGGCAATTTTATTCTTATTATTGCTGATATTTTTATTATTATTATTATTTCTGTTGTTTCACGCCATCATTTGAGTTTGTCTATTTTGAACAATACACATTTTTTTTGTGTTTGCATTTATATAAAACTTCATTTTATAGTATACAACTCTTTTGGTCTCTTTAGTGCTCCTGTCATAGAATCACAGAATGGTTTGGGTCAGAAGGGACCTGCCCTGGTTCCTTATAGGGCCCGTGGGATCCCCGGGCACCCCAGCTCTGGGCAGGGGGAAACACTGGGGATGAGAGTGAGGCAGTGTTAACCCAGTGTCTGTGGTGCCTATGGAGGCTGCAGACAAGTTTCATTTTTCATTCAAAAGACAAAATCTTAAAGCACCTTAGCTCACTGATACAAATCATAAAGGTCTGCAAATAGCTGATCATGTTGTATTTATTGCTTGAACAGAGAAGTAAGACTCAAAAAAAAATCACTGCAGATCGATCTGAAGTAAAGACATTTGGCTTTGGTGGTGGTGGTGTTCTTTTATTATTATTATTTGGTAGGAGAGGTATTTCTTTTTAAAGTCTTGACAGAAGTTTGGAAACAAAACCAAAATCCACTGTGGTAAAACAAAACATTTTGTTTTGTCTTCAGGTGATTGCTTTTCCTGAACTAATTGGATACAACAGGTTTTAGTCGTAGTCAAAGAAATCCCAAAAGGAATTCCAAAAGTCTTTTTAAACTGAAAAACTCTAATACCTGTCTCAAAATGATCAAATCTTACATTAAGAATATCATATTCTCCTTGAACAACCCAAAAAATCATTGCAAAATATCTGGAACATATTGGTTCCACCTAAAAATGTGAGCTCTGGTTCAAAACTTTTCTGATGCAGCCCTTCCCACAATTACTACACTTAGAGAAAGGGAGACCAAAATAACCCCAAACCTCATCAGGCTGATTTCCATGATGTCACTTCCCTACTCATTAGCATTTACAGTTTGCAAGAAGAAAGGCTGATGTTTTATATCCAGAGCCACCACAAAGCTTCTCAGCAACATAGGCAAAAGCTCAGTTTTGTCACTACAAGGAGAAAAAAGGCCAAAGCCAGGCTGGGCTGTTCTGAGTGGTATGAAATGACATTTTTATAGCAAGAGCCCTCCCTCTCCTTCCTTTTCCCACCTTTTATTGCTGAGTGTGACACCACATGGCACGGAATATCACTTTGGTACTGTTTAGGTCAGCTGCCTGGTTATGTCCCCTCCCCATTCCTTGCCCACTCCCAGCCCGACTGGCTCTGGTGGGTTTGGCAAATTAACTCTATCCCAGCCAGACCCACAACCTCACTGGCTTTTAGGTGCTGTTAGAGCACCAGACAGCTCACAGGGCTTTACCGGATTTCTTCCTGATGAGGTCCCATATTATATACACCCAAACACAGGCGGCAGCTGGTGACCAAGCCACTTTTCATGTCTCTCTCTTCCCTGCTACCCAGTGTGGGCAGAAGCCAACAGGGTGTCTGGAGATGTCACCATCTGTAGTGACACATACCCTACATTTTAAGATGATCCCTAACCTAGCAATTTTTATTTCTGTTCCTATCTCCTTGCACGTTTGCTAATGAAGCACTGTTCCCACGCATTTCGAAGCAACAAGAAATAGAAACAAGGGATTCTGTGAAAGATGTATACAAGGGGAAAGACAGAGAGAACACCACCAAAGATAAGCAGAATTTCCTAAGTTTTCTCTTAAGGTTAGCATTACCTAGAACACCAATTGAAGTCCTTCATGCTTCATGACACAGACCAACCAGTGGCATTGCTTGCTTTGGAAGAAATGCCTTTGTCATTGGGACATCAGCACCCACCATAGCTGCTTTTACTCTGACATTGAAGCATATGTTGTGGCTGCTGGAAAAGAGTCAACAGGTGGCTCCTAAATGGCAACATCTTCTTTTACCTTGTCTGCTTACAATCAAGTGTCTCCATTATCTGGGTATTCCTGGCTCTGGCACAACAGGCCAAAATAAAAATAAAAATTATAAATAAATAAATAAAACACTAAAAACTTTCCCCTTGATTAATGAAGCATCCCCAAACTTCTTAAAGAGTAAATCCTCTCTTTGAACGAAGATGACAGCTCCTTGAAGCTACTCAATAACTTTTCATTGTGGCTCTAAGACACTTAATTTTCCCCAAACCTAGACTCTAAATCAATCGTGTTATATATTAGAAACATCAACCAACTTAATCAGAACCGAAGTTAGAATACATTCTTTGCACATTTTCCCCCCAGCAAGTGCTGTCACAGCTAAGACAATAACATTCTGTTTAATTTGCCAATAATTTATACAGCAAAACCACTAAAATGTGCTTAATCCTTGAAGAGATTCAGTTGCTTGACTCCAGATTTCAAAGAAAAGCATGCAAATGCGGCAATAAAATGCATTCCGTTTAATCAACTGAACACATAACAGACTGATTCACATTGTTTTATGGCATCAAATAACAGTTTCTGATGTGATTCCATGTGGGAGAAATGGGGGAGGTTTCTGCAAGTATATTTTGGCAGGGTACTAGAAGAGGTCCCAGACAGCTGATTTCTTAATGAAGTGTTAAAGGTTTCCAAAATTTAATTCTCATAGGAAAATAAAAACTTCCCCTCCCTACTTTGTCTTTAACAGAAACAAAAGACCACAAAAACCAGCTAAGTATGCCAGTTTAAAC